CACTACAAAATATGGACTCTTGTGAGTCATCGAGAATAGCATCCTCACATATTGGACATTGGAATGTTACCCTTTTAGAAGATGAACCATTACTCTTGTTGGAACCCTTATTGGACGAACCATTGGATTGAGCACCAGTCTTTTTAGGTGGCATGGTGGTCCGGGACACATGATTCCAAAAACTAACAATTTGGCTACAGAGGAGAAGAAAACAGAGAACACAACTGAATAGCAGAAATGAATGCCTGAATGTGTGGCCGGCTAGAATAAACTAAACCGGCACAGAGACAAGAGAGGAGAAGGCTTAAACAGAGCCTAAAAACAGGTAGCCATTGTTGATCACGTGATTCCATCAGTGAATTGCAAGAAGTAGGTAAGAAGATTTGCAAGCAAAAGCATCACTATTTTAGTAGTGATAAGTATGGCAACTAGTGCCACATGTCCCAAGGGGTTGTCACTTTCATCAAGCCTGTAGTTACACTTGCGACCACGATCAAATCAAAATCAAGACATCAAAGGGACAATCAGATTGCAATCAAGGGATCAAGACATCTGTAGCAGGCATCAAGATATGTATATTTTTCGTATATTTTTGATTATGCAGATCTATGAATTTTTAATTAGCTATGCACGCATGTGATCTCATCAAAATCATAGATATTAGAGTTAAAAGGGATTGGAAACGCCCACGCTTTCCTGTTTCACTCTGTGTCCGTATGCAGTATTGGCTCCAGATAGCTCTGTGAATTCAGCAAGCCTCCTCCAGTGCTCCTGGTGGTTGTTAAAAGGATACTAAATATCAAAAGAGTTTCCTCTTATAAAGGCAAAGTGGAACAACAATAAACACTATAGAGTTCTTCTGCATGAATATCAATCATAATATTTAGTGCCTTATGGTTTGCTCCGGCACTGATGCACATGTATGTGACAGTTCACAGCCACATTTTAGAAATTAACAACTTATCTTCAAAATTATTTTGTTCTGTATATTCTAAAGCAGAAATATAGACAGCATCTTTTATAGGGATAAATTATCATATTTTTAAAAGAATTTGGTTTTTGAAATGTCTAAATTTTACTTTTTGTCCCATGATCTATAAAGAACAACATACAAGTAAAATTATAAGTTATTGCACTAAAGTAGCACTTCAGTAATCACTGTAGCAATAATTGTTACCGTAGGATCTTTGGTACTGCTGGTAGAGGTACAAAAGAAGACGATAAATTTTCTCTGAAAGTTTCCATTACTACTACAGGAGTATTGAATAAGATTTGAAAGTGTGCTATTGGCATGCAGGTCTATGGTATGCTTGGTATGCTATAGACTTTCATTGTTTATCCTTTGATGGTGACTTATAGGTACAAAACTGTTTTCATGTAAGTTATCACTAAAAATAGTCAATTTATACATGGATTGCAGGTCTAAATATGTATTTTAAAAATTTCTATAAATAGTCATATCAGTATACAACATTATTAACGACAAGAGCTACCTCAGTTACAAACTATCTTGCAAATAAACCTAGATAAACTCAGTGGCGGATCTATGGGGGGGCCAGGGGGGCAATGCCCCCCCAAAAATTTTCTGGAGTAATATAAACTTTGGTTTACCTGTATAAACTGTGAAGCAGCTGCAGTACTGGACTATGTAAACTATCTTTAAACCACAAAAGGGCTCATATTAGCAGGCTTAGTCTTCATAATTTTTACTTCCCAAAAAGTTTTGCACAAGCCTAGTTGACCACACCCCTAATTACCCCTCCCATCTCACAATTGCCCCCCCCAAAAATAAAATCCTAGATCCGCCCCTGGATAAACTCCTCTGGTTGATCCTCAAGGTAATAAAAATTAATTGAATTCTTTGGACACGGATTGCGACGCACATTCTCCATTCATTGCTATGGGATCACGTGAGCCGTTTCCAATCCCTTTTAACTCTAATATCTATGTCAAAATCAAGCATCAAGGGAAATTAAGCCTGTAGACCAAGGTGTCAAAGGTCTTTTTATGTAGATCAAAGCTTTTGATCGCGGTTGCAAGTGTAACTACAGTCTATATGCAAGTGACACCCCCTTGTGTCCTCCAAGATGGTGGGTAGCAATGGTTGCTATGTTTATTTACACAAAATGGGATGGGTCTATTGTTGTGTTGTACTGCTGATGATCATAGTCTTCCTTGCTGCTAGAGACATTTTTGGATAGCAGTTTAGTCTTATTCTACTGACCATAATCTTATAATACAAAAGGGTATTGTAACTCAGTCTCTAATATCTATAGTTTCACACACCATTTTTTCTCACTTAATTCCTACGCCACTCGTACGCCACTGAATGTCATACCTCTTCCTCTTAAGACACCAGAGCAAACTGTTGCAGACCGCCAGAAAACAATATCTATAATAAATACAATCTGTAATGATTCTAATGAATACAGTGACTTGTAAGGCATTGAATGATTACCTTCTCTTTGTCTTGTCCAAAAAGTGCTCGAAAAAGTGTAACCGGAACCATAGATAGTTAATAGCGACTATACGTAGTCTATGCCGGTGTTGGAGGGTGGTTGGACCCCCCTTCTATTTGGACCGGGGGTCCAAGCGCTCGCGAGTAGTTGGACCCCCGGTCCATACACTCCCTGAGCGCTTGGACACTCTGTTTGGACTCCCTTGGACCCCTCGCCCAGTCGCCCTTAACGTTTGGACCCCCTTCATGCCGTTTGACGCGCGCTGGCAAGACACATGCTGATACCTCACAGCGGTAGCCATGATCATAACAGTGCCCTCTTGTCACCATAGATGCTTCTTAAAAGAGCAAAATTAAATTGCTGCAGCTAAACAGCCCTGCTATGCAGTATTGACAGATTTTATTTTGTTATTATTAAATTAAATTTAATTAGGTAATTGTTGTGTAACAGTGCATTTTACAGCCTCAAGGTAATCAAAGTTAAAATTCTTTATCAACAAAGCAGCAAGGATCTATTAAAAATATAGAACTAGATT